TATATATACCAACAAGTGAGTAAAATAATAATAATATTTAAAGACGCATGCAATACCTAAGCGTAAAATGAAAATCGCTAAACAATGTATTACTTAGCTGTAGTTTATTACAAGGTGGAGATTGCTTTCAAAGGCGGGCGCTAATTCAAGCGGAAAATCCGCTGCGCTTTACCAACCTTACCAAATACAAAAGCTCTTAAACATTTTTGAAATCGTGCTTGTTTCATAGTTGTTATTATTATATTTTAGTTTTGTTTTGCTGTCAGATGAAACGCGCAAGGAATGCGGTTATGCGAACAGTGGTCAGGTAGAGCTTTCCAATGATTGTTTTGATCAATTCGATCGCCTCGAGCGACGATTTAGCGCTTATATATATTACAAACGAATCGGATGCAATAATGAATTAACACAATGTATTCCGCTAATACTTCAATATGGTTTTCTTGTAGTTTCATTTTTTTGAGTCTGTAGTCAACTAGGATCTCATACCTATTATATACTAAAATTATGAACACTTTTTTTTTGTATTTCCGGTCAATGTTAATAGGCTACATTTTATCGTGTTAAAATGAGTTAAGTTCCCCCTTCCAAAGGCTGATCGCTATTTACTTTATATTGAAATAAGAGGAAGGGAGTCTTAAATTGAAAAAGAATATTATGGAGAGTAATTTGCACATTTTGATCTGGAATGACAAGCGTATAAAGTAGGAAAGAATCGTTTTTACGATTCTGGATGACTGTAATATTATTATCATTTACGATTTCCACGACGCACATTTTGCGTATAGATGCATTATGCTACAAACTTCGAACGACCAATTTTATCAAAGAATTTTCAATTGGAAATAATCTCAGACACCAATCAAAGTCAATCAGCCAATTATTTTGTTGTATGCCCCTTATAATTAACTACAAGGTATCACCATGTTCGCATCGCCATAAACATAAAGTCTCGAGTCCGTTTAAAGCAATAAATCACTAGAAAGTGGCTTTGCTGTGATGCGAGTTCGTCAAATGCATACGACGTTTGGCGTTCGTTGGTTGGTTGGAGCACATGATTAAAGAATGGCCAAAGACAAAGTCTTAGAATTGCGCGTGTGTGACTAAGCACTGGCGGCCTGTCGCGTATGCAGGGAAATATTTCTAATGGCGGCGACAGGTCATCAGGGTGTCTGTTCTGCTAATCTAACTTAAAAATCGTGTGTCAAAGTTGTTCAATAGTATCGTTTTTTGACACAGTTATTGTTACTAAAACACAAAATAAATAAAATGCATAAAGATAAAAATAACGATTGAGTAACCCAATTCATTTGTGATTTTCTATTTTACTAACTATAACTGTGCCAAAAACAAAACTATTGATACATCAATAATGATGTACTTTAACTTGATGGAATCGACACCCAGTGCTCACTCACACACGTGCACTGTTTAAAGCTTTGCCTCTGTGCCTTCTTTAGTCATGCGCTCGGAGCGAGCCGCACCCGCACAGCTCGCTACACTGATATAGCCCCCATGTCCATGCTCCCAGGCATCGCATGCCGCGGGGAAAATGGCGAGATTTCACTTTTGTTATTGGAGTTTCTCTCCCCTGACAAGCCCGATTTCGATTTGATAGTAAAACACAGTAGAACACAGTAAGTTAACAAGATATAAGATCTATGTAAATCAAGTGCCGAGTGCGAGTTTTTAACTAATTTGATTACGTTCGCGTTGGAATCTTGTATTTGAGATTCGCCATAATGGAAAAAGCAATGACAATGACAACAATGAAAAAAATGATTTATTGAGTTATAATTATTAGTTCTTATTAAAAGAGAAAATGATTTGTGTATAAAAAGAATTTACCAATAATAAAGAGAAAATGATTTGTTATACACAAAGAATTTAAAAGACTTATAATAAATTAATGCAAGCAAATGATCAGAAATGATAATGCGAAGAAAAAGATTATGTGCAATATAGTAATAATATAGATGAAGATTTTATATAGTAGAGAGGCTAAAAAATCTATGCATTTCGTTATTTCATTTAAATTCTCATTAGTTTTACTTTATATGACGTGTAAGTACAGTGTCTTGCAATTGTTTCATTACGCGACAGACGCTCAAAAAACCGAAAGTGCTAATTGGTAAGAAAATAACTTGGTACCTATTGCATGTATGAATTTTTATGAATTATTTAAATGTTGAAACGGAGAAAGCATCTCGAATTATTGTGCTCCAATTATGTTGCTATTCACCAGTCGCGGCGGCTACGGGCCGTGATATGGCGGATGTGGTCCGTAGATATGTAACGCGACAAACAACTTTACCGTGAGATTAGACAGTTTTACTTCTTTTGTTTAATAATCTTGTCTTAATTCTTTAGTCAACACGTGACATTTTAGTTTTTTACAATAGCTAATACGTTGCATCAGGTTCATTAATAGTTTACGTCTCTTATTAAAGAAAGTTTTAAATCTCTAGATAATGTGAAGAGTAAATAGTATTTAAGTGAACCACTTTATAACAAAAAAATACTATGTTATAAAAACTTGATAAAATTGAAAGTTGCACTTAGTGATATTGATTATAAATATTCTTATCGTATTAAGAAAATTAAAAATGATAAAGAAGAAATAAACCTTAAAATATATGTACTGATTCCTATAAGTCATCTACCTAAGTAATATATGAAATTCAAAACCAGCTTGCTTATACACAAAATTGGTATCCAAAGACGTATTATCCAAGTACCTACTATCTCGAATGAAACGAAACTCCTCATGAAGCTTAGAACATCTGTATCACCAATAACTTCATGTTTACTGCGCCGTTGGCATGCATGTTCAATGTTTATGTATTATAATAATTCCATGACAACTGGTATGGTTGAAACCAGTTGGACAATTGAAGGGCCCGCCCCGACTGGATCAGTGTAATAAAATATTTATTAAGACATCGATTTCTCGCGGTCGATCTATAGATTTCACCACTTTCAAACTCTTAGAGAGCAACCATTCACTTTGTTGCGGATATAGTATATTTTTCATTTTTTCAATGAAATTAGGTTGTGTGCCGACTGAAATTTCCTTGATTATAATTAAGGAAATAAGGTTTTCTCAATTTCCTTATAATTCACATGGCGTGATTTCTTGACTATAATTATGTTTATGTAATTTCCTAATTACATAAACATAAAGTCCTATATATTTACCTAATGTGTTTTCGTGACTATATGTTTATGTAATTTCAGGAAATGCTATAACGTTAATTGAAACTTATCTACAATATGTATACTTACATCGTATTCGAGTAGGAACATGGCTTTTCATTTGCATTCTTTTTGAAATAAAGCAAGAAAATAGATACTTATATTGTATTAATTCATTTTAGCTTTTCAGTCAAAAATCCCATAGGAAGTTTTTCCGCTGACGTTTAGGTTTAAGATGTAACAAACTCCCAAAACAACATATCGTTAAGAGAAAAACTAACAAACATATGAATTTTATGAGCGCTATTATCTCTTCGAGATCTCATACAGAAGTCAAAGAAGATTTCTAATATTGCATAAAAACAGTTATAAATTCTAACAAGCATTTTATTGCTCATTCATAAGTTTTGCGTAGTATCTAAATTTATTAAGCTTGTCCGCTTACAATAGACAAACATAATTATGTTTGTCTATTATAAGCGGTTAGTCTATTGTAAGTTGGTGTTAATTAACGCCACACTAACAGGAGGTGTCACTTTCGAGATTCCGCTACAGGAAGGCTAGTCGGAAAAATAGACTATTGTACAAAACGCTTCTACGGTAACAATATACCAGAAGTGGATAGATAACTTACATATTACAATTATGATGTAGGTATCTGACATCATAATCATAAAAGGAACAATGGGACAATACTGATGTCTTATTTTGAATACGATTGCACTTTCGATGCGCAATGCGTAACTTATTACCGGAACGTAAGAAGGTACTCGTGTTTGTATGGCACGCTTCCAAGCCCATTAGTGTGTCAAAGACCTATGTGCTATTTTACTTTCGCTTTTATAACATTAAAAGGGAAGGATTTGTTTAATAGTACTTTATTTTATCAGACAATGGTGCCTGTTATTGGTCCGAAACGTGAAGATATGTATAAAAGTATTAAAAACGTATCTTGAACCCGTTGCAACATCAATAAATAGCGAAGGGTGTGGGTTCGAGTCCCGTCTGCTGCCTGGTCCGCGTGGATTTTTATCTAGTTATATTTTCTTTAGATTTAATCATCATGCAGTTACATGCTTATAAAAAAGTAGGTATAATAATTTCATAATCAAAAGCCACGCTCAGTATTTAGATGAGGTTAAAAGTGACTTTTTTATTTTTTATCATTACTTTGACACCTACTGTTTTACAGCACATCTCGTAAATATATACAAACAAAATTAATGATTCACCAAAGAAAAATGTTCGAATTGGCAGTACGCCGATTTCTTTTCATCCGCAAGCGGTATTGTTTTTCCAGCATACTAATGCCGGTATTTGGGTTAGGCGTGCCATAGCCTCATTACCTACCAAAGTATGTTTTTTTACTTATAAATGTACTTTTATTCAATAATCGTTTCCATCAAATATTTTAAATGTAAATTATAGATTGCACAGAAATTTACTTTACATAAATATTAGGTTCTTGTCTGCCCTTCAATTTGTTTCATTGTATAATTAATGTGGCTATGTTATGGTAAGATTGATGGCTGAGTATTATGTTGCGTTGGAATCTAAAACGATTGGGCTTCAATTTTGATGATGTATTATTTAAATTAATCCAATTGAATAATGAATTTTATTTTTAAGTGAGGAAGAGAGCTTTTAATAATAACAATTTATTTCTTAAAACTTACTAGGTACCACATTTTCCTTGACAATACAGGGAGATACATTATATTCATTTCAATTCAAGATGACGATTTATGAGTTCTGTAAATAATTATGATTTTGTATTAATCTCAAATATAATTTCTTTGTTACAGGTTTTCATACACGCTTGCAAGAAATATATGAAACCAAGATAACCTTTCGTAAGTATTAACTCTTATTTAATTTAATATCTAATTAATTAAGTATATAATTTTCAGAGGTTTCATTACACTAGCAAGTATTTAAAAGAAAACATCGCTTTCTTTCCAATTACCAAAATAACTTATAACTACTTTTAATAAATTCATCGTTATCCGGTGAAACTCGGCGTTACGATTTTCACATACATCATTATGCAACTTGAATATTATCAAAAAATAAACACGAATATATTCTACTTAATAAAAAATTGTGCAACATTCGTTAGAAGCGGAAATGCTGTAGGTAGTTAATGTTCACTCGATCATTCTCAGCGAAATGTATCGACTTTCTCTATGTTATTACTTACTGACGAAAACTGCCGCGAGCGTTACGTAAGCTCTGTAAGAATATTTTTTGAGTACGCACTGCACCGGTGAAAGTGCCAGCACTGAAGGATCATGCTGCGATGGTCTCGCTGTTTTGCCTCGCAAACGTACACGTGGACTATGTTCGTTTCCCGGTATTGTACGTACTTATTATAGTAAAAGTAACTACTTGTGATGTCCCTTTAATACTTAAGTTAGCAGTTTCTTTTGGAAAAAAAACTTTTTTTAAAAATATAGGGCGACGAGATAGTTAAAGTGTATCAACGCAAAGGGACAAGAAAATGGTCTCTATTGTTTTCGGAAAACATACGATGAAGGCATTTTTTACTAGTTGCTTTATTTATTCGTATTATATTGATTCACACACTCTTTTGCCAAACTGAAGGGGGTATTGAATTACATTATCTTTTCATTAATATTTATAACATTTTGGAATGTAATTTAGGAACCTACTTCAACGCACGCTGTTTTGAATATAACACGATAAATCTATAACGCCCTGTAATTATGTTCATTTATACATTGAACTTTGGCCATGATCGAAAGAATTTAGTGAAAGCAACGGAGGTTGCCTTGGTCAGGGGTCGTTAGTTGCGCGGAGTCATTGTCCTTGAAGCGACGGTCAATTTGAGGCTTTGCTTGCTCTTAACTATTATAGAAATGCCCCAGCGAGCGAGCTGTGTACTTTTGACACTATTGCTTATGAAGTGACCAAGCGGTTTCGAAATTCAAATATAGTTTTGTGGTAGATTTCTTTTATATGACGACTCAATCGCGTTTTACATATTGTATTGCGGGTAAAGTTGGACAATTTCATGCAGGTATAATTTCATTAATGTTCTTATGAATAAATACACAAGTGTTATGATGACCCAGGTACGTATTTTATAAATTTGCCGCCCTAGGCCTGTATTTATTTAAAGTGCTGTATACTTTATGGAGCTAGACACGAGTAGACAGTGTTATTAATGTTTATAGTAACAAACAAACAAATGTATTAGTTTCCATAAAATCTGCAGTCTGGAATACGAATGTAAAAATCCTGTTTGTACGCACTTTATTACCCATAAAGGAAAACGTGTGAGAGATAAAAATAGAATAGAATGTACGCGCAAAAAATAAGAAAATTGCTAAACTAATATTACCATATCGAGTTATCTCCAAATTCTGCTATGTGAACGTGGTTACTGTAGCAAGTCAGTTGTGCCTGCCGTGCCTGACCCCATAAGTTATCTCACGGTGTTGCGCAATACGGGATCGACGCCCGCGTCCTTGGGCCCACTTTCTCTTCCGCTGCGTGCGCGCAACGGAGCGTATCCTTTTACAACGTTGCGGGGTTAACGACTTCCTGCCTACCTTACAAAGTGATTATTTTTGAAAAAATGCTAAATTAAAAAAGTAGGAAGATGTTATTCTTTTTTATAAATGGCATTTTCATTTCGGTATACCTAATTAAAGTGTCCGATAATTAGTTAAATATATTTATTGAGTATATAGATGAATATTTTTTAGTAAAAAGCAACAACCTAGCTTTCGCATTAATAGTGACAGTTCAGTTAATAAGTTAATAATGGAGAAAAAAAATCTAAAGTCGTATTATTATGTAATTTTACTTTGTGCACTTAGTTATTATTGACGTGACAACGTCTTAAATTAGGTTGCGGCTGGGAGTCACTTATGAAAAAGTGTAACGCTCGGTAACGTTACGATGAGTCTCTCGTGTTAAGTTTAAGTTTACATGTACAATGTTTTAGTAAACAAAATATATTTCTATAGTTAAAATTTGTGCAATTCTTATTTTCATTCAATTCCTTGTTCCTATTGTGCAATTTAATTATATTCATATCAATAAATATTCTACCGAGAAAAAGACGTTGTCACGTAAAATCTTCGCCCGTAAAACCGACTTTACAGGCAACCATTTTTTACATATGTACTTAGTTTGCTTCTTGATATCCAGAGAAATGTTAAAATTATACTTATTAAAAAAAAACATTCTCGGAAAGCTCTCTAAATTTGAGAATCAACGATTGTGAAGATTTCATGCCACGATAAGTTTTATGTTGTTAAATTACCTACCACACGGCGCGGCGGGAACATAATTTTTGGTGGGATAAAGAAGTTAGTGAACTGGAATAGACTACTTAATTTCATGTTGTACCTACCATAGGTATATCGTGTGGCTTGAGAACTTGTTGTCATTATTAATCAAAATATTTGAAGGGGCTACTATTTGCATGCAACTATATAATAGAAAATCTATTTATCAAATGTCTTTTCCTTTTCTGTTTATTATTTTTATCATTTTAGCTGTATAAAACCTGATAGCAGTTTTCATAAAGAAACAAAATATAAAGAAATAATTCACCATTTTCTATGAATCATACGCACGCGGATATGCATAACTACTGTTTTTCCAAAATGATGACAGAATGTATATTAACGAGATGCTTAAAAAAAGAGAAAAATATATAGATAAAAACATATCGAAACATGCAAAATATCCATTAACACTGTGCCAGATAGATTAAAACTAATACAGGATGCAAAATCCAGTTGGTAAGCACAAATACAGCGAGAAATACACGTAGCTGCTGAGCCTCATTGGCCAAGTATTTGCTTACAAGTGGAACGCTACAGTCAACGTGATAGCTTTAATTGCCACATTAAAATCGCTCATTAAATTTATTGAAGCCTCATTAAAGGCACTCAAAGCCTATTCAAATGAAAGAGGATTGAACATAATACTTTTACTTAAGAGAGACAGTGCATGGTGGAATTTCCGCTCGAATTGGAGCGCCCGTCTGGGAAAATAATCACCACCTTACAGAAGAAGGACACAGTGAAATAACACTATCTTTTGGTGATATTGTGTTTGTGTGTGTCGGTGAGTGTAAGTAAAACGTTAGGCCCTCAAGAATTTTAAATTTCTTCCGAATCATTTCTTAACTGTAAAAATATATAGCTACCTATTTAAATAAGTGATAATACCAATACCACATGATCTCGTATTAAAACCTCATTGTATCCCTATTGACTTCAAACAATTAATAAAGATACAGCATTTTTTTTTTGATAATTTGTCTTTGAGTAATAACTATTGCAAGTGACACTAAGTATTAAATTATTATGCACCGACTGGCGCCGGCCTCACGCACCTACTTTGTTCGGTGGAATACATTACGTGCCTGACATACAGGCACAAATACGTGACACATTATGATATAACGATTTTCTTATAAGGAACACATGTTATAATTGTCGTATTTACTTGAGACGATTAGATAATAGCGACTAATATTATGAGAATTAATTAGCCATTTGATACTGTGATTTTAACTTAATTTACGGTCGGTCACTTTTTAATTGTCAATTACATCTTGGCCTTCAAACATTTTATCTTTAAAATGATGCTTAAATAATTTGAAGAAATAACATGATTGTTTTGGATAAGTACAAAAGATAAAGATCTTCTCGAAGATAATATGTAAGTACTGTAGTTTTTTTTTGAGAAATCCACAGGATTATTCCATTGTTGCGTGATTGCGTAACAAACTTAAAAGCTTTCACATTATTAATAAATAGTAGGATTTTGTCATTGATCGAACTTGAGAAACTGTAGCAAACAAAATTACCGACATAGTTTACAAACCTATAATCATAATAATAATAATATTTCCAACACTCACACCAATTAGCCTAACCCCAAAGTAAGCACTGTAAGGCTTGTGTAATGGGATACTAGGGTAACGGATAGAATACATATAGAGTACATATATAAGTATAATTATATAGAAATACATAGTAAACATCCATGACTGGATTACAAATGCTCGTATTCATCACACAAACATCTGCCCCCACCGGGATTCGAACCCGAGACCTCTTGAGTTGGCGACACCATGAAACCCGGCGTACAAACCACGGAGGTCGTCATAATATCATAATAATTTTATAGAAGCTGCTTAATAGTCATAAGCTGTTAAGTCATTACGCAAATTTGTCCTTTAATTAATTAGGCATCACCTAGTCACCAGAAAGTGTCACCATGCAGATAAGTAGTTCCACCAGGTTGCTTCGACATTGTAGACTTATTTATCGTCGTATGGGCGTGATTGGAGTGGATTCTAGTTTAGAAAACTTGCACGACGTGTGATCTTGATCTCATCAAACGTCCTCCAACATCCAATATTGGAAATGGGATATCTAGAAGTGATCTACAAATAAAGCATGTTGGGTCTCAAACTGGCTTTCGCCTTAACAGATAAAATGACAAGTTAAAATAACATCTTAAATTGTTACACGGTGTTTGCAGATGACGCACAGTGATGGCGTAGGTAGGTGCTTTGTCTTCGATTTTTTTTTATTATTACATCATGAATTTCTTGATTGATGGCATGCAATTAAGGCATATAAGTTATGCAAAAAAGTGCCTATAGTGATATATATCAACTTATTGTAACAAATTCGAATTTAAACTAATCATGCCAAATTAATATCAAGGGCAGCATAAAACTCCTAAATCTTCAATATTAAGATTTTGGATAATACTGAATGTAATTGAACTAAACACTTAACTTTTCTATAAAATAAGTGCTAGCAGCTACCCGCAACTTCGTCAGCGTTAAATTTAG